GTCACCTTGGTTTTATTCAAGTTGCGAGATATCTGGCCCAGGGCTCTGAAATGCATCGCCACCGCCATCGCTCCAGCGCGCCGTAGCGTTAATGTTGTTTTCGAAGTTGTTGGCAGCCACTTCTCTACTCTTCTCACTGACTAAGCCACCATTCCTGGCACGCAAGAATCACACGTGCGGAAGTAGGAACAGGACTGGCAAATGGCGCCTGACCCTGGAATGTAGTTAGTGTGTTCGGCACAAGCTCTCTCCAGCTCTAGTCGGATCGAGCTGATCACTATTCAACGCACCAACTCGACCCGACTCCATGGACCCAGGAGTCTGGACTTCTCTGCGGAACTTTCCCGGGTCGCGATATAGCGGGAGACGTCGCTATCCCCCGAGCTCTGCCAGCAGGCCCGTACCGTCTGCTCTGCGCCCGGGGAGATTGTCCAGCCTGCCATGCGCTCGCCGCCCGTCAGAAGGGGTAATATTTCCGAAAACTGAATATTTGAGCGGGCTGCAGGGTGCAGCCGCTAAAGGTCACGTACTGAACTGTGGCCGCCCGGCTCTCCGCTAGATTGCCCAAATGCGGTGAGAAAATGAGGCTCAAGTTAACTGAAAAGAATCTTTTGCTGCCGCAGCACTAATAATTTCAGGAATAATCTAGCTAAGGTGTTCGGCTGGACGGTCGAGCGCGTGTCGCGTCTCCTCATTGGTGCCGCCTGGTAAAGCGTAGGCTCGGCCCGCCGACCCGCCGTGCGGGCTGCTGCCACGTGGTAAAGCGTAGGCTCGGCCGCCGACCCGCCGTGCGGTGTCTCTGCTGCCACGTCACGCCGCAGCTGTTTGCTGCCGTGGGCGAACGGCTCCAAAGGTCAATGAGGTCAACGATGTGGTCAGGTGGTTGTGGCTGCCTTGAAAGGGTCGTGACAACCGCATGGTCGTACTTTCGTCGGTTTTGAATAAGCGACGTTGCTGGGTGCGATGGAACCGTGTTTGACGTGCATACTGCAGCACCTCTGTTATTGCTGATCCGCTGGGTGAAATGGACTCTGCTACGCCTCTCGTAGGTACCCTGATCTTGAACATGCCAGCCCACGCGGTGCAAAACATACTCCCTCACTGTCCTTCCCTCCTTGCACTTCCCCCACTCATAACCTCAAATCCTGTCAGGCGATGCGACTTCTGGATTACTGACGCCCTTGATCTGGTCGTGTCTGTTCTGTGGTTGTCTGTAACTGTCTGTTGACCATCTCCATGTTTGTGATCCTAAGTTCTATTTTTGGTCTGACCGTCCGGGTGAGTCAGACTGACTTTAGGTCAGACTGCAGGTGTGACCTTAGCTCTATCATCCTGACCATCTTGGTGTGGCCGTGCCCCGGCCAGTGACCCTCTTTTCGTGACCTGATAAATCCGTGCCTGTGACCCTCTGCCTGTCTTGACACAACTGTGTACCTGTCTGTGATTTACACCTTGGCCTGACCTTATATCGTGACCTGATCCTATCTTTAGACTTCATCTTACTGATCTCGTAAGTTGGCCTGACCCTTAAGGTGGCCCTTACACATCGGGCTTTACCCCGGCGGTACTGCAATCCTTTGACGTCTGCTGACACTTAACATGCGCTAGGGTGGGGAGTCAAATTGACCCCCCCTCCGAAGGTTTTTGTCCAAAATGGTTTCCGAACGGCGCGGCGCAGCCGCGCAAAATTTTGTTTAGCTGTAGACAATTGAATAGTGGATCGTTTGGCATCAAAAATTTAGGTGTACCTTGTAAGATCACTGACCTGTGACAGGTCAGAGTCAGGTCATGGTTTCAGCGAAGGCAATTTCTAGGGAATCCTTCAATCTGATCTAATAACAGAGTGTTAGACGAAGCCATACATCTCTGAGATGCTTTCTTAGGCAACACAACAGTTGAATGAACAAATTATATTCACCTAAGTTCAGATATAAAGGTCACACCAAGGTCAAAACCAACCTGTTTTGTTACTCTAGGGCTTGTTGTATGGGATTGTTTCTGGTGCTCATTTCGAATTTGTTGATAACAGGAACCGCATTATGCATCTCCCATGGACTTCTTAGAGGTCAGAATAGGTCATTGATCGAAAATGACCTAGGCCAACATTTTGTTTTAGGAATATACTGCCTAGCGTCACCTTTGTCACTTAGTCAAAGGTAAAACTCAAAGCAATCTTGCATGATATTGGTCACCTTGGCCTTCAAAAGATCAAACAAGGTCACCGAGCTTTGATGAGCATGTGACTTTTGCTTAGAAACGGTTATCTAGGTTCTGGGGGCACTTTGGAGACCAACCTGGAATTTGATCTTGTTTGATCTTTTTGATTCAAAGGTAATGGCCTAGGAACCTGAAACTTTGACCTAAGTGGGTTCACGTACAGGTCAACACACCCCGTAAATTTGTTGTCTCTGGCCTTCTTTGTTCCCGAGATCTCATGGGGGAGTCAAATTGACCCCCCCCCCCACACCCGTGCGAAGGGTGTCTAGCCGGCCACCCGGGCGCGTGTTAGTGTGTATCAAATATCGTAGCCCCATGCCTCACTCAACGTAGTCTTGTCTATCTCTGAAACCCATTCTCCATGTCCCTATATTAAGTATTTTCACTAGAACTTGTAATTTAATCTATCCTTTGAGACCAAAAATTGCAAGCAAATTACATTGGAATTTGTGCACGAATTGACATATCGAGACATTTCAGTTGCTGGGTATGAAGGTCACGATACATGCCATTTGGCTTTCGAACCGTCGGAATGCCTCGACATATTGCATTGCCTTGACATATTGCATGACATCCAACATAAAAGTTAAGCTTTCTTGACGGAGCAGGTGGCATGAATCATACAGGATTTTGTGCACTGCGAGGCGTCATTACGGTGCTCTGGAAGATTCGAATCGCTACCGCTGCTGACCGAAAAATAATCAAGCCGATTGGTTTTTGGTCGACTGATGAGCTCGTTCCTGGCGGTGCAAGGTCAAGCACGACCTCAGCTCAAGGGTGGGGGACCTCCTCTCAGTCACGACCTGGCCGCGTATGCGTGGTTTTGTTGGGCCCTATTTGAGGGGAAGGGAGCTCATCTCTTTGGCAGCAGCAGCAAGATCCCTCAGCACCTTCATCTGCGTGGCGATTGCTTCGCAGAGTTGGGAAGGTATCTGTATTGCCCAACGCTGTCGTGCCCATGACTACCAAACACATGGCTGACAACGCCAGGTTCTGTCAGTGGTCCCATGAACAGCACGAGGGGTTTCATTGATGCTGGGAAGGGGTCTTGCTTACTACAACGCCCAAACACATAGAATCGAGATATTGGTCAACACAAAGCCATGCCCTCAAATGAGATGCCGAACGCAAGGTGACGAGAAAGTCTTGCGCTGGGCCGCGCATGTCGAGAGTAAAGTGCTGACATATTGGCTCACCCCAAAACATGTTCGTCCGGCTCGAGTGAGACCCCTCTGCAGCTGTTTCAAGAGCAACTGGAGCACAGAGGGAACCAAAAACTGGAGTTAGACCTCGCTGATACTGGCGAAATGGAGCAGCCGTGCAAACGACGCCGGCTGCCGTTTCTGGCACAGCAGTAAGTTCGACGACCGCGTCGTGAGCCGGCTGATGGATCGTCCCCGGGCAGCTCGCAGTCCAGACCTACCGCCGCCGGACATCGTCGTGAGCCGGCTGATGGATCGTCCTCGGGCAGCTCGCAGTCCAGACCTACCGCCGCCGGACATCGTCGTGAGCCGGCCTGATGGATCGTCCCCGGCAGCTCGCAGTCCAGACCTACCGGCGCCGGCAGCCGCAGTCAGACCTACCGCCGCCGGACATCGTCGTGAGCCTGTGATCGTCCCCGGGCAGCTCGCAGTCCAGACCTACCGCCGCCGGACATCGTCGTGAGCCGGCTGATGGATCGTCCCCGGGCAGCTCGCAGTCCAGACCTACCGCCGCCGGACATCGTCGTGAGCCGGCTGATGGATCGTCCCCGGGCAGCTCGCAGTCCAGACCTCCCGCCGCGGACAATCGTCGTGAGCCGGCTGATGGATCGTCCTCGGGCAGCTCGCAGTCCAGACCTCCCGCCGCTGGACATCGTCGTGAGCCGGCTGATGGATCGTCCTCGGGCAGCTCGCAGTCCAGACCTCCCGCCGCTGGACATCGTCGTGAGCCGGCTGATGGATCGTCCCCGGGCAGCTCGCAGTCCAGACCTCCCGCCGCTGGACATCGTCGTGAGCCGGCTGATGGATCGTCCTCGGGCAGCTCGCAGTCCAGACCTCCCGCCGCTGGACATCTGGTTTTGGTCTATGGCCCAGCCAGCAGTTTGGCGATCCTCTCCGACCACGATGGAGCAGCTGAGGCGGACTGGCAGTGTACGCCATGGCGATGAATCGGGGCGAAGTTAGTCGAGCTATCCGGGGCCTCCGCCGCCGCGCACAGACCCGCGTGGAGAGGGCGGCGCTGCTGTGGGAACTATATGCGCCCCTCAGAATTGGTGATGCAAAAGATAAGGAAGCCCGAAACTGTCCCAAGCACCTTTGAACGTTTTTCAACCAAAAAAGGAGAGGTTTTTCTCCTGGCGTATTGGAAGATAGTCGATTCTGGCGAGCAAAAAGTGTCCGACTGCATCAGCTTCCGGGACCTTCTGTCTCTTCCTCACCACCTGACCACATTCTTATCCGTGTTTCTGACTACCCGTCTTGACTCGACCGTCCATATCTGTGCCTCTCGATCCGACCGTGCCCGTGTCTGCACCTCCCGATCTGACCGTGCCGATGTCTGTGCCTCTCAATCTGAACTTGTTCGTGTCTGTGCCTCTCGATCTGACCGTACCGATGTCTGTGCCTCTCAATCTGACCGTGCCGATGTCTGTGCCTCTCGATCTGACCGTGCCGATGTCTGTGCCTCTCAATCTGAACGTGTCTGGGCCTGTGCCTCTCGATCTGACCGTGCCCGTGTCTGTGACTGGTCATCTCCCCTTACCGTGCCCTTGGCCTGACCTCGCTGCCGTCTGCCCGCGGCAGGCAGCAGCGGCGCGATGAACCTGGAGCGGCGCGAGGAGTCGGAGGGCCGCTGCGACGCGCTGCCCTGGATGCTGGAGGCCTCACCGTCAGCCTACCTGTACCTGTCGGTGCCCGGCCGTCGGGAGGCGCCCGGCGTCTGCCAGGCGGCCACACGTCTCGTCGTGTCGGCGCCCGACCTTCCAGAGCCGCTGGCGGTCATATGCCCCGGTGGCGGCGACATGGTGAGAGCCGCAGCGGTGTGGTGAGAGCTGGTGAGAGTCAGGGGCGTAAGACGAGCAGGGAAGTGAGTGGTGTGATGTGGAGAGAGGAGGGGGAGAGAGAAAGAAGAGAGGGAGAGAGAGAGGGAGAGAGAGAGATAGATAGAGAGAGAAAGAGAGAGTCGGCAAGGTGTATGGTGCGACGCCGTGAGAGTGGATGAGGCAGGCGGTGTGATGTGGGTGAGAGTGGCGAGTGTGTGGTGTGAAATGGTAAAGCTGGGAAGTCCGTGTGGTGGGATGCGGCTAGAAGGTATGTGTGTGGGTGTGACAAGAGTCGGCGAGGTGTGTAGGATGACGTGATGAGATTAGGAGTTATGTGATGCGACGAGGTGAGAGTCGGGAGTTGTGATGTAACGGAAGCGGGACGGTGATATAATTATCGAGTGTGAGATGGGAGTGAACGGAGTTGCGCTAGCGAGAGGTGAGCGTACCAGCAGAGGGGAGCGGTACCAGCACAGAGGGTGAGCAGCTGTGCCGAATGGCAAATCTTTGGTGGCTTTAGGGGAGGAAAATGTACTATCCAAGAGCATAGTGGAGACAATAGCAATGGAGATATAACTGCCTTAGGTCCACGTCCTGCAACCCTTTTCTCATTTTCAAAAACGTCGTGACACGCGCATGACATGGTGACCCGGCCACACCCATCTTCGCCCATGTCAGACCTGAAGAACTTGCATGAAGTGGCGATTGCTGCCGGCACGTGTCCTGGCCTTGAGCTACGCGAGCTGATTGGTTATGGCAGCTGTGCCGATCGCTGACCAGCGCTGATTGACTATGGCGGCTGTGTTGATCGCTGACCACGCGCTGATTGGCTGTACCGATCACTGACGCGCTGTTGGCCGAGGTCAAGAGACGCGGTCAAGCATCTCTGTCTGGCACTGCCGGCGGGATCCCAGAGACCGAGCTGAGTGTGCACTGACCAGGTATCCTTCAACGGGTAGGATTTTCTGCGTGCGGTCCCCCTTCAGCTATAAGGACATGGCCACAGCCAAGTATTACCCATTCCTGATCTGCAACTCGCTCCCGTTTCCTGCTCACTGCCCTTTGCTCGGACAGTGGTTCTGAATTGTGACAGAAATTTGAGAAAAAAAATTTGATCGGAGTACCCAGATTACTCCTTTTGCTTGGATAATTGCAAAAGTACCGTGAATCTCGCAACTGTCAGTGAATATCTTATAATACCGCAACACAAAGTAAAAGGCTA